TCCCTCTCTCATTCCTGCCCATTCCCTCTCTCATTTCCTCTCCTCTCTTTCCTGCCCATTCCATGTGCAATTCCCACCCATCCCCTCTCCATCCCTGCTCCATCCCAGCTCTGATCTGTGTCTCTGCTCGCTCTGGCAGCGGCGGCAAAGAAGAAGCCGAAGAAGGGGAAGACGCTGACGCTCACGGATTTCCTGGCGGAGGACGGGGGGGGCCCCACCTACATCTCCAAAGCCGTGAGCTGGGCCGACGAGACCGACGACCTGGAAGGTGAGTGTGGCATTCCCAGATGTGGGATTGGCATTCTCAGCTCCAGGATGGCATTCCCAGGTCTGGGATTGGCATTCCCACATCTGGGATTGGCATTCTCAGCTCCAGGATGTCATTCCCAGGTCTGGGATTGGCATTCCCACATCTGGGATTGGCATTCTCCGCTCTGGAATTGGCATTCCCAACTCTGGGATTGGCATTGTCAGCTCTGGGATTGACATTCCCAGTTCTGGGATTGGCATTCTCAGCTCCAGGATGGTATTCCCAGGTCTGGGATTGGCATTCCCAGCTCTGGGATTGACGCTATCGGCTCTGGGATTGGCATTCTCAGCTCCAGGATGGTATTCCCAGATCTGGAATTGGCATTTCCGGCTCTGGGATTGGCATTATCAGCTCTGGGATTGGCATTCTTAGTCTGGGATTGACATTCCCAGCTCTGGGATGGTATTATCGGCTCTGGGATTGGCATTATCAGATCTGGGATTGGCCTTCCTGGCTCTGGGATTGGCATTCCCAGCTTTGGGATTGGCATTCCCAGCTCTGGGATTGGCATTCTTAGTCTGGGATTGGCATTCCCAGCTCTGGGATGGCATTCCCAGCTGTGGGATTGGCATTCTCCACTCTGGGATTGACATTCCCAGGTCTGGGCATTCTCCACTCTGGAATTTACATCCCTGGAGCTTGGATAGCATTCTCCACTCTGAGATTGGCATTCTCAGCTCTGGGATTGGCATTTTCAGCTCTGGGATTGGCATTCTCAGCTCTGGGATTGGCATTCTCAGCTCTGGGATTGGCATTTTCAGCTCTGGGATTGGCATTTTCAGCTCTGGGATTGGCATTCCCAACTCTGGGATTGGCATTCCCAGCTCTGTGATTGGCATTCTCCACTCTGGGATTGGCATTCCCAGCTCTGGGCATTCTCCACTCTGGAATTGTCATCCCTGGAGCTTGGATAGCATTCTCCACTCTGGGATTAATATTCCCAACTCTAGGATTGTCATTCTTATATCTGGGATTGACATTCCCAGCTGTGGGATTCGCATTCCCAGCTTTGGGATTGGCGTTCCCAGCTCTGGGATTGACATTCTCAGATCTGGGATTGACATTCCCAGCTCTGGGATTGGCATTATCGGTTCTGGGATTGGCATTCACAGCTGTGGGATTGGCATTCTCAGCTCTGGGATTGGCATTCCCAGCTTTGGGATTGGCATTCCCAGCTCTGGGATTGGCATTCTCAGCTCTGGGATTGGCATTCTCCACTCTGGGATTGGCATTCCCAGCACCCCGAGCAGCATTTCTGGAACTACACTACCATTCCTAGGCTGCCCCAGAGCACATTTCCAGCTCTGAATTTGTATTCCTGGCCACCAGAGTGGTGTTCCTGAAGGCAGGACAGCATTCCCAGCTCTGAAATGGGCACTTCCAGCCCCCTGAGCAGCATGTCCAGCGCTGGGATTGGCATTCTAGTC